AGGTAGAGGCACTCAGCTGCAAAGGGAAATTCTACCCCAGCATGAGAAGACATTAGGATTTAAAAGGAAGAGCAGCAAAAAGAATGGAAACTACCATGGATTACAGTAAGGCACACATTATAGTATTGGTTTATGTTAAAAAATCTGAGGGTTTAATGTCACTTTAAGTGTACATAATCCCTAGCAATGAACTTATCATATTTCCTCCCTTTTGATCTTCTAACTATACCATTGAAAGTGTTTTGTTATATCTCTTCAAAAAGTACAAAAAATTCCTGTTGATTTATAAGCTGATAACGTCCTATGCTCTCTGCCTGTACACAAGGAGATGAAGGGGGGTGGGGGGAGGTCTGTATTTTTTGTTATACATCAGAAATGAACATTTAGGGGTCCATTTATAAAATTTACATAAATGATTCACACAATTTGAATTCAATTAGAAAATGTGTGAATCTTAGGTAAAAGCTGTGTGAAATCATTAATAAATTGATTGGGAGCTACGAATAGTAACTACCCTTAGGGCCCAATCACTCCATGTGCATTGGGCATGTTAATCAACACAGGCCCAATACAATAAGCCAAATCCATTGTTTCCAATAGGCTCAGTTCACACTAACATGTTGCATTGATATGCCCTTTGTATAAATAGAACATGATGCATTTAAACACAGTGCAGCACAATGCAACACCTCCACAGCACTCTGCAATACAAGTTGAGGGCCTCTTTACACTAACATGTAACATGTGTTACTGCATTGTTGGACCATTCATTTTTTTTTTCTATAACTTTTTATTAATATTAAAAGAAAAAGACAAAAAACAGAAATAGATATCAATATTGGACAAAACACACTGCATGGCAACATGAGCAAAAAGACAAATCTGGTTCAAACAGTGCAACAATATTGTTGGAGCAAATAACAAAATGAGCAATGAGAATGTTCTCTATTGCTATACAGCGAGTAGAGTAGCATAGTAGCTAATAAACATTCAATCAAAAATAAACAACAATACAGTATAGCTATAAACTATACCATGATTACAAAGAAAGAGGCGAAAAAAGATCAAATATAAAAAAGGTAAAATTGAAGAGGAGACATCACGAATAGGAAAAGAAGTGCGACATCAATGGAGTAAAGAAAGGAAAAAGGAAGAGGAGTAAACGAAAGAGAATACTGGAAAGAAAGCATAAAGTCAGAAAATCGATCAACCCTGGAACCGTTAAGACTAGTAAAGGTAAGTCAACCAAGGGATCTCTAAGGAAAGGTACCAGTTCGAATAGACGGTTTGTATCTCAAGAAGAGGGGCTATTGTCTTCCAATGGTTCCCAAATCTTATCATACACAGCAACAGATTTATTAATTCTAGCTGTTGGATATTTCATGTTCTGCACATCTTTTAGGCTTGTGTATAATCCAAGCTTGGACAGAGGAAGAGCACACTTCCAACGCAATCAAACATCTCGCTGACGTCAGAATGTGCATAGACAATTTCCTGTCATATTTATGGAGATGCAGAAATGGAAGGCCCAACAAGTAATGTAGAGGAGATAAAAGTAGAGGTGCACCGAAATGGAAATTTCAAAACTGAAATAAAAAACATTGTCAGGCCGAAACCAAAAATGTTTTTTTATTTAAATTTTTTCAAATTTTGTTCATATTTTATTTTTTACTTTACTTTTAGGGGCTTCGGGGAGTGTTCCTGTTCATTCATAACTTGAGAACATTGTGTGTTTACTATAACTACAACTATGAAAGAACAGGACTGATGCAGATCACTTCCCATTCATTCATAATTGAGGATATAGTTAACATGCTATGTACTCAACACTGATCGCTGATTGTTTGTACCCGCTGTCCCCTCTGACACACTGTCACAGGAGGCTGAGGAAGCGGTGCAGGGAGGAGAGCTCAGCCTCCTGTGACAGCGTGGGCTGTGTCCACCCACACACTGCTCTGCTGGACTGTGATAGGAGGCTGAGCGGTGTGGGTGGAGAGACGTAGGCCGCTCACTGCGCTCTCCTCCCGCAGCGCTCGGCCGGTTATCACACTTTCTCTCCTCCCCGCTGGGACACAGAGCAGCGCCCAGCGGGGAGGAGAGAAATCACGGATGTGCCAATGTATTGGCAGGAAAAGGGCACTTTCGGCATTATGCCAGAAGTGCCATTTTCGGCCGATATGTTTCGGCGGCCGATATATCGGTGCATCCCTAGATAAAAGTAATGTCTTTTGCGTAAGTTCTAAAGTTCATTAAACCATTCTCCAGAAAGGTTGTATAAGCGAACATGTCCAGAAAATCTGCAGTAAAGAGCGCGGATGTAAACCACAACGCCAACGCAATGGTGAAACAGATTGAAAATGTAGATGTTCAGGCGTATAATACCAGCGATAAAGTCTTTTATACTGGTTCTCTTTATAAACCGAGCGGATAGAAGATCTGGAAGCAGCCCGCCATATGAATTCCCATTGTTCACGTGATATTATTAGATCCAAGAGTCTCTCCCATTTCAGCATGTAGGGAAGTTTAATAAAATTCTCTTGAAATAGATAATTTAGCATTCGATAAATAGCTGATATCAAGCCCCTGGAGGAGGGATGTTTATAAGAAATAGATTCAAAGGGGGTAGGCTACTGGAACGTAAGAGTGGATGTGATAGATTGTGCAAAATGTTTAATCTGTAAATGGAGTATTAGATGGTAACTTATATTTTTTCCTGTATGGAAGAAAAAGGGAGCAAAGTATTAGTAAGTTTATCTATGATATCTCTAACATGCAATAGGCCTGCTGTTTACCATGGACGTGTCCATGCAAAATGAAGATTTAAAGGCAAGCTGGGATTAAATAGGAAGGGGGGCATAGAAAAGTTTTTAGATGCTAGGGGCCATTCATTTTAAATGACACTCCAGCGCACTTAGACAAGGCACTGCATAGCAGTGCACCTTTTTTTTTACCTCCCCAAGAAAAAAGTCTACATGTTATTGAGCATTGACAGTTCACTTATTTCAATAGACTGCCTTAATGCAACACATATTAATGTTTGACAGAACACATGTTAATGCACTGCAAAAATGTGACTAGGTCCTAAGGCAGGGCTTGGCAAACTCTGGTCCTCCAGCTGTGGTGAAACTGCAAATCCCATGATGCATCTCTCTCTGGGAGTCATGCATGTGAGAATCTTGCAATGCCTCATGGGATTTGTAGTTTCACAACAACTGGAAGGCCACAGTTTGCCCATCCCTGCCCTAAGGGTTTGTTCACACTAGCCTGCATGCTACAATGTTGACTGCAAGACGTCAGTAGAGGTGTTCTGAAATCGCTCAAGATGGTGTGCTGGTGACTTCCTACTCTGATGTTGCTTCTGGCCACACAGTCCGCCGGGCACTTCAGCAACCACGGGTGAACGAATGGGGACTAAACGGCCAGGCGTGCAATGGGCTACCAACAATAACTGTTGCATTATTTAACCACACATGACACTGCATACCTAGGGTTGCCACCTTTTCTTCAAGCGAATCCTGAACACTCTAGCGACGTGCAGACATTTTTTGGGGAGAATGAGCCATGGCATGTTCATATGTAAATAGCGCCACCCATTAATATGTAAATATTACAGTTGAGACTATTTTCAGTGGGGGGCCAGTAGCCCCTATCTTAATTTTGGTTGCCCCTGTCTGCCTGACATCTTGTGTCCAGGTTTCTGCTGCCATGAAACTCGGACAAAGCCTTCAAAACCCGGACTGTCCAGGTCAATCCTGGACAGGTGGCAACCCTCCTTACCATCTTGTCTTGAATTGTATTGTGATTGTAATATCTTCCTTATATTGTTAAGCGCTGCGCAAACTGTTGGCGCTATATAAAACCTGTATAATCCTGTATAATAATAATAACCCTACGCATATCATACCTGTGTTTTGATGTGAACAGGGCAAATAGCAAAAATGTTTATATGTGCACTAGCAGTGACTGTAGATTGTAGTTGTAATCTGTGTATATAATAATGCAGGCCTCAAATTTTCCACTCGCCCCCTCGCATTTGGCGAGTGAAAATTGCGTGGGGGCGAGTGGAAACTCATCGAGGAGCGCCGCCGGCGGGACCAGAGATGGGACACTACCGCCGCGGCGATTGCTTACTTCTGTTCTCTCTTCTCATCTGCCGCTGCCGCTACAGAGCGGCCGACAAGGAGAAGAGAGGGCAGAAGTATACTCCCCCCGCCGCATCATAAACCGCGACCTGACGATAGTCTGGCGTTCCAACAACCCGAAGGGAACGCCAGACGTATGCCTCTCACCACCACCACCACCACCACCACCACCAGGAGAGAGAAGAGGCACCTGAATACCAGCTAAGTGCACTGTAAGTCCCTTTTCTTTCTTCCTTACACTGTGCGTCACACTGACCCTGCACTGTGCGTCACACTGACCTCCATGCTGTGCGTCATTGACCTCTGCATGGCGTGCGTCATCTGATCTCTGCGCAGTGTGCGTCACTCTGACCTCTGCGCGGTGTGCGTCACTCTGACCTCTGCACTGTGCGTCACACTGACCCTGCACAGTGCGTCACACTGACCCTGCGCTGTGCGTCACTCTGACCTCTGCGCTGTGCGTCATGCTGACCTCTGCGCTGTGCGTCATGCTGACCTCTGAGCTGTGCGTCACGCTGACCTCTGTGCTGTGTGTCACGCTGACCTCTGCGCTGTGCGTTACATTACTGACCTGGCGGAGTTAAGTCCGGGGCAGGGTAGGGGTTAGGTGGGGCAACTGGTGGCGAGTAACTTTTAGGCCTGGCTAGTAGCTCAGTACTTGAAATTTTGAGCCCTGTAATAATGTATTTTGGATCTTGCACATGAATACAAAGTATCACAACACATCAGCAATACAAAGTTTCAGCAACACCAGCGGCAGCTACAGGCCACACTTGGAATAACACCGCCAGGTCCGGGCCTCTCAGCGTGGCGTGTCGCAGCCATTGTACGTCACTCCGAGCTGGAGCTAAGCGGAATGACGTCAACTTCCTCTTCCCTTTTCACGCTGCCTTTCGTAGCGTGGCCAGCTGTTGATCCCCCCTCTGTCGGGTGCGGAACTTTTAGATCGATCCATCGATGCCCGGAATACTTCTAAGCGAGGAGATGGAGAGCGGAGTCGGCAAGAATAAGGTGAGAGGGAGTGCGGGCGGTTTCTGGGCTCTGCGTGTGACTTATATCATAGCACGGCCTAGAGTGGGGGAGGCGGAGCAGCATGTAAACAGCGCCGTGCGCTCACTGCATGGAACTCATAGGCTGCGTATAGGAATCCCAGACCTAGCAACCACGGATGGAAGGACACACTGGGACTTGTAGTTCTACAGAGACACGTGGGTACTTTTTATAGGAACTGGGCCTACTGTGGATAGTTGTCGTATTAGGGGTGATCACAATTTGAGGAGGCCATGCTGCCTCATTTTATGTGACATGGGAAGGTAATCCTGACAAATCAATGCATCATGGCGTTGTATCACTTCTTAGAAATCGTTGCCAGGTTGAATATGTAGATAGCGTTGTTACCAGTAGACACCCCCACCCAGGATAATGCGGCGGTCCACCACCATGGCAGTGCTCCGGGCATGGCAGTGCTCCGGGCATGGCAGTGCTCAGGTTTTCTCTCCACCATGGCAGTGCTCAGGTTGTCTCTTATGTCTTTGCAGATTTAGCAGCCAGTCCCGGTGTTTACAGTCAGAGTACTTGTAAAGGTCTTGGTGGTCAGGAGTGGTCATGTGATTGCAGGAGATCACGTGACCACTGCCTGCAGAGAATGTTTTGAACATCTAAAGTGACAATGCCATGACAGGGGCTGCCATTGTTTGCCTCCTTTTAAGAATGCTATATTCCTGGCTCTGTCTGGCTAGTACTTTTGAGCCACAGACTTGGAAAATCATGTCAGAAATCCTTTGATATTTTCCTGTACTGGGTCAGTGGCTCAGACAGCATCGAAGCCCAAGATTCAGCACAACAGCTAAGGAACTAGCATTCTGTAAAGTATAGTTCAGCTATGGCAGCATCCATACTTCCTCATGGCAGACAAGCTGTTTCCAGACCATTTCAACAACAATGTTCCCATGAGGCTATATCTGCTTTTAATGAATTGTGTGCATATTATTTACCTGTAAAAGCCTCCATTGTGGTGATATCCAATAGCCCTGAATCACCATCTTGTATGTGATGTCAGCAGCTCCAGCACTCAGAGTTGTCAGTCAAGTGACACCTTATAATAATCTCACTCACTCTTCCCACCCCAACAGCTATATATCATTTTATGTAGGGGGATGAAGTAAGAAAGGAGAAGCTAGGCCAGCAAAGACAGAAGCGAAGATGGCTATGACATGTAATGATGGAGGGGCCTGTGCTAGGGACTTGACTCCTCCTGGAGTAGTAAAATTTTGTAGTAAGCTCTAAGGCACATTGCAAGAGAATTTTTTTAAAAAATGTATGATGAGGAAAAACACAGAATTTAAATACTTACATTTTCTGTTTTTTTTTTTTTTACTTGCAATTCTTATTGATCACGGGGTCTCTTTAATGCACACCTGTCATGAGAGGCTTATGTAGGCTGCCGTTGCTTCCCTGGCTGTCATGCTGATCCTTTGGCTTCACCTCTTTCTGTGTTGCTTACCTGGAAGCAGTATAGAGTTAGGGAATTCCGACACTCATTTACAGTCTGTTTCTGGCTTTGAAGCCAGACAGCTAGCATTTTGCAAATAACATACAGAGCACGAAAAGCATTTAAATGGCTCTCAAAGCCTGCTGCTGTTCTGATTTCAATTTTCAAGTCAACGTTGCGATCTCCTATTAATAAACTGTGCATCTGCTGTATGTTATATCATATTCTATCATAATATATAATATTTATATATAACATAGTATAATATTATTTAATAATTAGAACTAATAACAGCAGTTGGCTGAGATAGAACTCTGAGAACTTAAAAAACCCCTTTCAGTGGGGCTACCTCCACACTGTAAAGGGTTAAATTCTTATGTCTAGGGGGCTCAAATAAAACTCTTATTACTCACTGGATCCTCAGTCCCTCTGGGCTGTAAGGGCCATTCCCTGCTGGAATGCACAGCAATCACTCACCAAACGTCCCACTTCGTTCTGGGGCGGGAGGTGGCATGGTAGTGCATTGAAGTCAATGGCACTGCAGCCCTGCCCGCAGTGCAATCGGACGCATTGGAAAACATTGCCTGCGTTCCGGTCCACTGTAAACACCAAAAAAGAGCACTTAACCCTTGCAGTTTTGAGGTAGCACCACTGCAAGGGTGAGCTCTTTAAATTCCCGGCGTCCTTCTTCTTTTTATATGATTATTGTGTTGTGCCTGTGGAAACAATGGCCTGGCTTATTCAGATGTATAGAGGTAATTAGTGGAATTGTAGCGCTGTATAAGATACATTGGTAAGTTACTTTTAATGGGAATTTAAAGGAGAACTATGAGATGAGTGATTTCCACTCACCTCATAGTTCTAAGCCGACCTGTAACAATGAGACTGTCACAGGTCGGCTCAGTAGATCGGGAGGTGAGCGAACACATACCGGGTTCGCTCACCTCTCGATCCTGTCACGGCTCTCTGCCGTGACAGGGGGAGGGGCTGGATTCCCCTCTCCGATCTGCCAGCGCTGACTGGCGGAACGGACGGGGGAGGGGGCGGGTACAGCTGGCTCTGCCTCTAGATAGGCAGAGCCAGCTGTCACTCACGCAGCTGGGCGGATCCCTTCATCTACAACGGGTTCCGCTCCAGGTGCGCCGTCTCAGTATACCGCGAGCGGTAGCTCGCGGTATACTGAGCTTAGGGTAACGGGAGGACCCTAGTTTGTGTCCTCCCGTTACCCTAAGGAGAACTATGGGGAAAAACACTGACCCCATAGTTCTCCTTTAAATACTAATTCCAAGTACAAATAAAACTGACAAATCCCTTTCTGATGGTGGTGGTTTATTTTTTTACTTATTTTTAATGATGCCCCTATTTACCTGAAAATTTTATTTCAGAGGGCACTTTGACCTCCCGATTCTCCATCCAGCAGCATTCTGTAGGTGGAGTAGAACAAGTGCATGCATGTCACACAGCAGTAATGTATACGTGCCTTCAGTGCTGGCATACTGGCTGATGGCCACACGTTCTGTAGGTCAGAGGATTACACGGGCTGGGGGCCATGACTGCCTGTATACTGGCTCCTCAGGTTCTACCTAGGAGCGCAGCTGTTGGACTCGGCTGACTTTCTGTGAGGGACAACCATAGGTAGATGGTGATTATTGCAGCAAAAGCTGCAATTTATGTTAAGTATTGGGGAAAACATATTAAGCTGGAGTTGGGCTTTAATTTCCTAAATGACACTCCTGGTTTGTTCTATTCCTTTCAGCACACCACATCACGTTTTGTAAAGTGTTTCCATCATAAGCCATTTCAGATACACTCCTTGTTTCCCTGACCACGTCTTATGTTCTTTTCCAGAAAGTGTCTAAAACTCCCACACCCAAGAAGATCAAGAGGAAAATCCAAAATGGGGACACGGAAGAACTTGATTTTGAGCAAGCAACTGAACTCAACGGCCTGGTGACCGAAGATTCAAATAATAACGATCAGGTACTTGTTTAATCTTTTTTCCTCATGTATTGTACATATTGTGGCCTTCGGCTAAGTTTCCATTTCCTCATGACAGAAGACACCGAAACTGAAGAAGAAGAAAAAGAAGCTTGCTGAAAAAGAGAGTTCTCCTGAAGCAGCTGAGCAGTTGAGTGAGGAGCAAGACATCTCAGATGCTCCAACACTGAAGAAAGTAAAAAAGAAAAAGCAAAAAAAGGATCAGGAAGAAGAACCGGAAGCACAGCAAGAGGCAGCCGAACCTGAGCCTGAGATCGATGAAGAAAAAGTAAGAAGTGCTACATTGTAGACATCTGTCAGCCACCAGGTTTATGATGGTAATGCTATGTCCTGTGTGTTCTCTTCTCTGGCCAGATCTACAGCCTCATAACAGCTGTAATGTGCAGTGTACCTTCTTCTCTGAGAGTGACATTGTCCTAATTTAATACCGAGCTCCAGCCATATATAGGGGAAAGGGAAACACCAAATACATTTATGAAACAATTCAATTCTTTGAATGCAAGCATTGTATGGAGCTACATTTTATGGGGTTCATATTGTTATAACCCTCTGTAGAGCAGAACTCTGACTGGAAGATCAAAGGGAGCTAATTGGGCATGCTGCAGTGTTTTTGTTCTGACCAAGAACATGTTGACTGGTGGAGAGAGCAGAATGATGAGCTTATCAGTCTGCTGCTTCTCCTTCACTCTCCAATAACAGGTGGAGTCAGGGAGGTGGCCTGTGTTGATTAATGGATAAGTACATTGGTCTAAAGTGCACTTATCTTTTAAATATAGCAGAGTCTGACCCTCCCCCTCGGCCTGGCTGTGCTGCTTGTATCTGCATATACCAGCACCGCATTTACAGAAATACAAATCCTTGGGCAGGTAAAACTACTCCCAGATATGTATTTCTATCATGCATGGAGCCGTTTGTGCTCAAGCTCAGCTTTAATGTCGTGTGTTGCAGGTAATGGGGAGTGTTACAAGATTCGTTATCTGAACAGTAATTGATTAGGCATATTTAGACTACAGAGACAACTTATTGGGTGTATTTGGCAATTCTCTGCCTGCATACTTGCTGATTTTGGGATTAAGCGTTTCTGGAACACTTGGGCAACTAGAGGATTTTACGGGGATGGCATGGATGGAGGCGAATACTTCTACTGCAAAAAAAAAAATTCTCCTTTCTAAAAACATGCCCATCACTGTTCCACATAGGGAGGAAGGGGGAAGTATAATACATCTGATTGGGCAAAACAGTCAGTGTATTGTTTTAAGTGGGTTTTGTGTATACTTATTTATGATGGTGACTGCACCTACTGTAGATTGAGAGGCTGTCAGCCAGATACTCTGATTCTTAAATGTTGACAGATATCTGTGAAGAGCATAACACCTTAACTACATTGTTTTAGATGAAAATGCTGCTTTTTTCCCTTATGATGAAGCACAAGCAGACTGTCAAATTATTAAAAAAAAAAAAAGATTTCCTGAGGATACAAATGCCGTATACACAATGGTCATAAGGGATTAACATTAGTAGGTGTTCATTTTGTTGACTGTTTTCCTAACATTACTATTGAACATATTGACATGGAGAAAACAACATGCAACCTCCATTTTCTCAGGTAGAGATTGTTTACTTTTTACATAGAAGAGTAAGACCTCAAGAATTGTTCTTTATGCAGGATCATGGCCTGTCCCCACTGAGACTGCACTGAAACAGGAAAACATATTGCCCTTTTCTCTGATGTACGAGGTGTGATTAAAAAAAATAGTGCACATTTTAATTAAAAGCAATTCAATTCCAGTAAAAGACACATTGCCATTAATCCCCCTCGCTTCAAACACACTTTCTCCAATCATCTTCCAGGACAGCAACCTGAGAGATGATTGGATCTTCAGTCTACAGGAAACACAATCAGACAAGGTTAAAAAGCCCTCCCACCCCCCTCGTCCCTCAGTTTTTGATTGTGTTTGTTACCGTATCGGTCAGCGCAATGTTTGTTTCTTTGTCCCGACTGGATGGCCTTGAGGTCAGCAGTCACCCTCTGTGGGGCTCTGCTTGGGTACTGGATTCCTGAGCCTTGCCTTCTTGTGGTACAGAGGTTGTTCCATAGAAGAGGTAGCTGGTCTCTCCCAAACCTAAGTGTAGGTACTCAGCCCATCTTTCCCTCAGGCTATTTGCCCTGTCTGGTGCTCTGTGGAGCTTGCCTCGTGGTGGAGGGCGAGGAGGCGGGACATCCCATCGTTCTTGCCACTTTGAGAAGCAGTTCTGGAAGTCCTCTTTCATAAGTATCTTTAGTTGCACTGTCATGGCTGCCTCAATGTCCTGGATCGATACAGAGCGTTCACCTTTAATGGTCATTTTGACTGGGGAAGAACCAGAAGTCGCACAGTGCCAGATCCGGTGAATAAGGTGGATGAGAACACATTTTAATGTTTTTTATTTGACAGAAATTGCCGTACCAGAAGCAATGCGTGACGCATTTTAGAACACGCCTTCTGTCAACCGTAGCCCACAACAGACTGACTGCACCCACCAAACATGTTGAAACTGTTACTAAGTTTCAACGCGCCACTTCTTGTATTGGAGTCTTTCCGTTGACTAGTGGGGGTTAGATTCTAGTCCTCTATGATGTCCTGCTCTCCTACTGCAGATAACCGTGTGACTAAGCCCTACACCTGCGGGGGCTCTTAGGCGTTATATGGACATTCTTTTATGTGCATAACATTGAAATCTATTTAAAGAGTAAAATGTTTTTATTTTCTAATGTGTAGTGAATCGGTAAGTTATTTCTTACTGTCATGTTGTGTGGCCTGCATTTTAATTTTGTGTATGCTGTAACAACGATTTACTTTGTTTTTTTTTATTTTTAATGTTTCATTTAATCTCTCTTTTTGATCCGTTCTAGAGTGGCAAAAAAAATAAAACAAAGAAAAATTCCAAGAAAGCAAAAGAAAATGTTAACAGTGACGACAGCGATGCTCCTGCAGCAAAGAAAAGAAAAACGGAGCCTGAAGTAAATGGGCTGAATGAGGAGTCCAAAGAGGAGGATGAAGTATGTCCAATATATTTCCCAAAACATCCCAGAGCACAGCAGACACATGTAACAACATATACTGCTTTGCAGAAGTAAAGATTAACGCAAGCTTGTGGTGGTTTTTTTTTTTTTTCTTCGCAGGAAATTAATTTGGAAAAAATTGCGGGAGATTTTTCAAAATTTCCAATTTCAGAGGAAACGATTACTAATCTAAAAGGTAAATTTAATTTCTAAATATTCTCTCTTCTGATAGTCGCTTGATCCATCCATTCTCACATATCTGTTGGTGCCAGAAGTAAACCTGTATTTGTGATATTGTAGCCTAATGTTCAGCCACCATCGAAGTTCCTTGGCCAGCATAATATATGTTTAATAAAACTACTCGGGTTTAAGTCTTAGGTTTGGTTCCCACCTTTTGTATTTTTATTGAATGAGTTTTCCATCCAAATCAATGGAAATGCATCAATACACATCTCTTACCCTGCGTTTCCCCTGATTTCAATGGGAAATGTATTTGGGGGAAAAATGCATAGGTGTGAATCTAGCCTTAAAGTAAACTTGTAATGAGAGGAATATTGAGGCTACCATTGTCCACCTGCTTCTGGAAAACATTTGCCTGAATTTTATCCAGATCCTCAGTCCAATACGTTTGGGCTAATTTAATAAAGATGAGTATCTTCATACAGTTAATTGTGTGAATATTTAATTCAATTCTTCGATCAGCTGCAGGTGAAATAAGTAAACATGAATTTTGTTGTTCACATGATTAGATAATTGAAGTGAATATTAACACCAGTTGTTTGGAGATGATCAACTCCTTTAGTAAGTCAGCCTCTTTCCGGACAGGACATGTGTTCCAAACCAGAAAGTAGAAGTGCTCAGATCTCCTAATTTCAGGGCCTGGTATTCAAAATATTGAAGTTTAAAATTCGAGAATACTTGCTGATCATTCCTTCTGAAAAAGCTAATGTTTCTCTTCCTGATATCTATGAACCTGGTTACTGAGTGAGGAATGTTGACCCTCTGCAATGTTCATAGTAAAATCCAAATGGATGGGATTTGGAGTGGAGTCATAAGTACCTTGACTTTAATGGTTGGATTTGTGTTCTTTACTTCTCTGTATTCTAGCCAAAGGAGTCAATTACCTGTTCCCCATACAATCCAAAACCTTCCACACTGCCTTCAGTGGGAAAGATGTTGTTGTCCAGGCCCGTACTGGCACAGGGAAGACCTTCTCATTTGCCATTCCTTTGATTGAGAAGCTACTTGAAGATAAACAGCCTCTTGCGCAGGGACGCCCACCAAGGGTACGAAATTTGCCTTTTTCTCTTTTTTTTGGCAGTATTTTAAATATATTCAGTTCATTAATCAAAAATGTATGTAGAAGACTCCCATCAAATATCTATGACTTGGATCTCATTCACAGGACACTTTAAGGTCTGATTGCGAATTCATGTGGCAAGAATCTGCAGTTCCTTGCAGCAGACATTGCTAGTGGTTCCATATAGCTGCGGCCACTCAGCCTGCATAAAGCAATAATAGGCTGACTGTGGTTGCAGCAGCCGACCATGTAATGGCAGGCTGACATTAGACTTACTGACAGGCCGCAGCTGTCCGCCTGTGTTCGGATGTAATTGCCTATGGAGCGATTACCTGCATTTAGAGACTGGGGATTGCCCCTTCTGTCTAACTGGAGGCAATCGCTCCATGCGAGATTACTTCCAAACACAGGCGGAGAGCTGCGGCCACTGCCTGCTTGTCTTTGCTTTGTACAGGCTGAGCTACTTCATCTATCCGGAAACCACCACAGATTCTTGGAGCAAATTCACAGCCGGTAGTCTCATGTGAATGAAGCCTTAGTGTTGGGTTTAGCATAATGTAGCAAAATCTAGTCTTGCCTCCCAAACCTTTTTGTGACAATCCTTGACTAGTCTCTTCCAGTGTTCTCTATTGTCATCCAAACAGTTTAAACATTAAGTAGTAAATAATGGGTGGGTGTCTGTATATTTATTACAAGTATTTATATAGCGCTGACAATTTTACACAACTGTTTACATAGTTGTACATTCACATCGGTCCCTACCCTCAAGGAGCTTACAATCTAAGGTCCCTAGCTCACTTGCATACAAGGGCCAATTTAGGCAGGAGCCAATTAACCTACCAGCATGTCTTTTGAAGTGTGGTAGGAAACTGGAGTACCGGAGGAAACCCACGCAAGCACAGGGGGAACATGCAAACTATATGGGTATCTTTAAACAATTCGCTGCTGCGCAAGCTCATCGCTTCTTTTGTGGCCATTGTTTACATCCAGTTACTGCCGTGACATAGTACCTACTGGCAGTAGTGAAAGGGTCGTCATTATTTTTGTGTTGGTGTGTACACTGAAGTGGTTTTTTCACTCTTCATAGGTGCTGATCCTTACTCCTACTAGAGAGCTGGCAATTCAGATTATGAATGAAATTCGGAGCATATCTAAAAAGCTGAAGACATGTTGCTTCTATGGAGGAAGTCCTTATCAGCCGCAAGGTGAGTTTTCTCCTATTCATCATTTCAAATCACAAAGTGTCTTAGAACCTGTAGTGACTGTTGCTGTACTGTCATATCCCTCCATTCTCATCACAGATGGTTTCTAGGGATTACATGGGGCATAAAATTACACATGTTACAGAAAATGTCAGTTTATATAATCTTGCCATTTTTTTGCACTTTTCTCATATTGAAATGAACTTCATATACTGGGATGGTGTTGTGCTACCCTTTAGTCCAAGGTGATTAACCTGCATTGAAAAACCCTGAGAGCCTACGAATTGTAGATATAGAAATTAAAAACATTGTGGAGTCATTTCATAAACCATCTCCCCATATGATTTTATGCATGTTATTTACCTGTAAAAACCTCCCTTGTGTAGACAACCAAAAGCCCTGAGACTACTGCTGGGCCTTGCCATTTAAGGCGGGAGGACAGGTTCCATTGTTCGCTTTGCGATTGACCTCATGGGCACCCCTGCTGTAAAAGGTCCACTGGAAGTTAATACATCTTTGTTAACTCTTCAGTAGAGGTCCACTTTAAGTCTTCCAGCCATGAAGTTTCTGCTGGCTGCATGATTAATACAATTTAGTATAATAAGAAATAACATTTTACAGCTAACATTTTTATATGCCTCTCTTCCCTGTCTTCAGTATTTGCTTTGAAAACTGGAATTGACTTGCTTGTTGGAACACCTGGTCGTATACGGGACCTTATCCAGAATTATAAATTGAACCTCACTGTACTGAAACACGTGGTGCTAGACGAGGTGGATATGATGTTGGAGATGGGGTTTGCAGAACAGGTGGAAGAAATCTTATCTGTCCGTTACAAAGCTGGTAAGTGTCAAACAAGTTATCGATATAAAAAAAACACTTTTGCTGTAAGTTTACTTGCCTGTTTGTGCAACTGTGTACCCCTGACCAGGTAAAAAGACAAAACAGAAAAGTACTATATAATAATAATAAAACGTATCTAAACCCAAACATTTAATATATTGCAGTTTACTCATTTTCAGATGTGGTTGCATCAGTTTTTTTAGATTTGTATGCAAATTTCATGTTGAGTCCCTCCTCCCTTTGGTCGTTTTCTGTTCTACACAGTAACCAGGTGGGAAGGGTATAATGACGCTTGCTCAATTTTATGAAAGTCAGTATTGTCATATAGCTTTATCTTCTATCCCAGCAACAACATTGCAGTAGTTTTGGAAATGTAACAGCTAATTGTGAAATTTTTCTGTTCTATTTTGAAGATCCTTCACAGAATCCACAGACTCTTCTGTTCTCTGCAACATGCCCAGACTGGATGTACAAGGTTGCCAAAAAATACATGAAAAATGAGTACGCAAAGATTGACCTTGTTGGACACCGTAGTCAGAGGGCTGCCACCACCGTTGAGGTCAGTAGACCAAAGCTTCATAATCATTCTGAGTAGGGATGCACCAATACATACTGATACTAGTATTAGTGCTGATACCGAGTATTTGGGCAAGTACTCGTAGGTACCAGGGAGCATAGAGCTGGCTTCCCAGCTAAAAAGCCAGGGGGTGGCTAATGACTGACTTCCAGGCCTCCTGATTGGCCAGGAAGTCGGCGGCATGTAGGGAGCTGGCTTCCCGGCCAATCAGGAAGTCGGTTGGGTAATGACTCGCTTACTGATTGGCCAGGAAGCTGGCTCCATGCTCCCTCGGAAAGCCAACTCCATGTTCCCTTGTCACTTGATTGGTCAAGAAGCTGGCCAAGCGGTGTGTAATGACACCGCCTTGATTCCTGATTGTTCAGGAAGCTGGCCAGCAAATCATTACTCCCTCATTTGATTAACTAAATTAAAGAATAAATTCTGATGTTCTGCTGACATTATATACCCTTATGTAAGCATCAGTAATATGCTAGCAAGCACGCTGTATTGACCTTTTCTCTTCCAGTCTGAGTATTGTATATTACAAGATGGTTGATATCAACTTGGTTGTCTTGTATTGTATGTTTGTGCTCTGTAAAGGGGGAGCTTTTGATTATACTAACCTAACCAGATTAATAATGAGAAAATGGAACCAACACTTAAACTGTTCATTCAAAATGTCTTTTTCTTTTTTCTGCAGCATTTGGCTATTGAGTGTAACCGATACCAGAAGGCCGCTGCCCTTGGTGACATTATTCAAGTTTATAGTGGAAGTCATGGGAAAACCATCGTCTTTTGTGACTCCAAACTAGAAGCTCACGAATTATCAACCAATTGTGGCTCCCTGAAACAGGTCTGTGTTCTTTTCAAATTTTCTACAAGTATTGTGATGTGTCCCATACACACCTTTTTAGTTAGTGTGTTATATTTATTTCATCATATATATGATGCACATGGAAAAATGCTTGTAGAAAGCAGCTCATAAAAAGTTTCAAAGGTTTTCTGTGGATTTTTTTTTTTTTAACACAAAGCCGGTATATTTTACAGGATACAACATCCGCCATACTGAAATCATATTTTAACATTACTTTTTCTGCAGAGTGCCAAAGCTCTACATGGTGACCTTCAGCAAAAGGAACGTGAAGTCATCTTGAAAGGCTTTAGGAGTGGGTCATTCGAAGTTCTTATTGCAACCAATGTGGCTGCTCGAGGTCTAGACATTCCAGAAGTTGATCTAGTCGTGTTATTTTCTGCACCAAGGGTGAGACTTTTGTATGTTTTCGTGTAGTTATCCAGATCTTTGTTCGGCTAGCTTTTTTTGTTTGTTTTTGTAAATACTGTATACGATATTGTTCCTGAACCTCTTGTCACTGATGTATTCAATAACTGGTTTATCTGAAATGCTGATTGCAGAACAGTTTTTGTAACTTGTACCTAATAGAGCTGTAATTGCCCTATCTGTAGGAAGCAGATGCATATGTCCATCGTTCAGGACGTACAGGTAGAGCTGGGCGCACAGGAATCTGCATCTCTCTTTATGAACCCAGAGACAGACATTACCTACCAATTGTGGAGAGGAGCACGGTATGTAAATGTATGATCAAGCAGCACAGATGTTTGAGCTCATGTGTGTTCTAGATTAGAGGCCCATGGAATGAAGTGTTAATGTTTTGTCATGCTCGCAAAGCTTAATGTAGTACTGCTTGCAAAAGTCCATAACTTCCATTTTTTTTTTTTCTCCCCACTAGGGTATCACATTCAGACGAGTCGGTATCCCATCAATACTAAATGTTGCCCAGTCCTCCAGCGCTGATGCAATCAAGTAATTTTATTTTATAAATGTTTTAAAGTCTTTATTGCAATTGAAATAACACCAAGAATGAAATATATAAGGGAGTGACCTACGGTTGGTAACTAATGGAAATCCAAAACAAAAAGTGTAGAGGTTTAGCACAGCGGGGTAATTGTTTTTTCTGCACTTTTGTTTCCATGTGCAGTTTAGATACTTGTTACAATCTGATTACTTTTAAAAGAAAGAGGCCACATCAAACTTAATGAAACTAGGTGCTGAGGTTGCTTGCTTTGATCTTCCTTCTCCTGTGACTCATTATTAGTATGGTATCATAGTGATGAGCCAACAAAAGAACTGGAGAGGATGGGACAGAGCTGGTTGCAGTTTCCTTGTCAAAGTACTCAACTTTATTGGGGTCATGTGTTATTCTGCAACAAGTGGTTGCCGCAGTATAATTCTTGTCTAACAGCAAAATACACGGCCAGTACACATGTGGCATAACTGTAAGTACACTTGTCACGATCGTAACGTTTTGGTAAAGAGCGAACATGTCTTTACAGTTTAGGCTCTCCTGGGGCAACACTGACATATATTTAAAGGTCCATGCAAGGAACTCCTGGCTTTCTGCTTTATATAGCGTTATATTAGTAGTTTTACTCATTTTAAAGTGACACTAAACTCAGGAGTTAAATCTTAAAAATGCATTGTGTGATCATTTTACTGCTTCTGGTGCTAATCTAATTTAATGGTTTTAGGTCTCTGGATTCCATCCCTGTTGATGTTGTTGAACATTTTAAAGTATATGCAGAAGAGCTAATTGAGAAGAAGGGAGCATTAAATGCACTTGCAGCAGCTTTAGCTCATATTTCTGGAGCTTCATCCTTGAAACAGCGATCACTTCTCAACATGGAAACGGTGACAACACTCTAACTACACACACATTCTATGAATAAGTAGAGAAAACTAACTTGAAGTAATGGCAGGAAACACTGTTTAGAGGACTGAGTCAATAATGGACGTTTTACCTGTAGTTTTGTCATCTTGGTACTACTGGATGACAGCTGAACTCCGGGCTAGAGAAAAAATTACTCTTGCAGTTGGCCCCCCTTTGCATTACAAGTATTAAGGGAAGATGACCACGATAAATTGAGTCTTATTTGTCTCTCCCCTTGCACTCTCCGGCACTCCCAAGACATGGGTGGGGGTCCTCGCAAGAGCTGCAACAACGATTCGATTTAGTCGATTATTCGGCTATCTATTACCTTGCCTGTACGCGGCTCCACACTCAAGCAGCGCACGCCCCCCCACCGAACGCGCACGCCGGGCCGATCACATGATGGGTGTCAGCCGGGGGACGGAGACTATGGCTGGGGACGAGCCGGCATCCAGGCTAAACCTTTCAGCAGAAGACATGGAGGGAATGTTCAGACAGTGAGTGCCCCGACCCGAACATTATAGTATAATTACTATTGCTAACTAATCAATTATGAAAATAATCGTTAGCTGCAGCCCTAGTCCTCGCATACAGGTCAGAATTATATTTGATGTTGAGAGCTGCAACTGGTCAGGCGGTGAAGAGAAGCAGCTCTAGGGGACTGATCATAAAGCGTCAAGGAAGGGAGTGAGGAAAGTGGTAAGTATATTACCCTTGTTCTAATCCCCTGAAACAAAGCTAGCGGTTAACCCTTGTAGCGGGGAGGGGAACCCCATTGCAAGTCTAACCTTTTCTCCAGCCTGGACTTCAGCTTTAGAGAGTTAGTTCACCTTGTATAATAAAATTTACGGTACGGTACGGTCAAGGAGCCCCATTAGTTTACAAATAGTGCTTTTTAAAGAAGTTTACTTTAAACGTCATTTAAATTCCGTAACTGTAGGCCAAGTGCGGCTTCAGTAAAGCTTAACCCAAAAAACGAGCATTCCGAGCAATCTGTTCCATCCTGCCTATATAAGCTAGGATGGATGGTCTGTTGAGCAGCTTAGTTCTGCTGGGGGAGCACACTGCCCATGTGTTTTATAGACAATGTAGTACATTTATTCCTGTGATCGAGGTGCACCATCGGTCCTAGCTTGTATGCAGGACAGGGCAAAAATGATCATCCTGGGCATGTATAATAGTAGCTTTTTTGTGGAAGCATCGCTAGCCTTACAGGTATGTAATTTAAACAAAGCTCAATTTCTCTAATGGGTGCTATGATTTGTAAACCAATGAGACCTCTTGACTGCACTCTAAATGTTATAGAAAAAGGTAAACTAACCCTTCAAGGTTGGCAGAATTTGTCATTTTGAACTTTGCGTTTCAGAAAGGTCAGGGGTTCTGTAGTATTAGTATGTGATTGGGTATACACGTGATTAAAGCATTTGTTTAAAAATAACTGTTTAAATTGCAAACTGCATCAGGGAGGCATTAGAGACAGGGCCATGCACTAATATTAGGTGAATAGAAAACAAGGAGCTTTGACACGTCATAATAGCACTAGGGGTCTTCCACAACCTGTCCCTTTCATAAGGGTAATATGCCAAAGGGCCTGGACAGTAGCTTGTGGGATATATACTTGTCAGCATAGGAAGCAAACATACTTTAAGTGTAAAAAACTGAAAAAACAAGGACCACAGTACAGACTGATCCACCCCTTCATCAGAGATGTCACTAAATGTACTGGTTTATGTTGTATGGCCAGCACAGGATGGAGACTATACTGGAGAAAGTTCTTCTAAAGAACGATTTCAGAACTTTTTTTTTTAATTCTTGATATATGCATCCCCACAACAGTTGACTATAGGTTCACTTTAAGAGCAGACATTTTGTTAAATTTTCCCGTCTGGCAACCAAATCTTCTTTAACCACTTGAAAACCTTGGGGGTACAAGGCACATTGTAAAAACCTCATTGAAGTACCTTGGGCATACATTTTAGTACTAGGGCTTCCTCTTCCGCTGCACCAATTCTACCCAATGTAATCGCTGGGAGCAGCCTCAGGTGCTGGAGTGATTTAAAGTTGGCATACTTGGCCATTGACTGTGATTTCCTGTTTGTATAAGTAGTACATGTAAGTTTTAACTAATAAAAGAACTAAAAAGCAAGTGAGCACTTTATAGTTAGAAATACACTTACAAGTTTATTGGTCAGCACATATTTGTAAGTAAGCTTGATAATTAAAGAGACACTAAACTCAGGAATTAAACCTTAAAAATGCATCCAAGTACCTTTTTAACTATTAACAAAAATGTATCTTATTTGTGTATCACTCGGGTGTAGATTCTCAAATCATCTCTGAATTGGTGCTGAGACTGTCCTTCCTTCTGGAGGGTGGCTACTTCTGTTCCCCATGGTGCCTGTGTGTGTTGTAAAGTTCACTCCTGTGATTGATTATAATCTCACGGTTAGTTTACTAATTTGTATTAAGATTGTAGTCCATCACGGAAGGACAGTGTCGGCACCAATTCAGAGATGATTAGAGGACCTACAGCCGAGTGATGTACAAATAAGTTAAATTTTTGTTGAATCTTAAAAATGCATTCAGGTACCTAACACAAAATGTTAATGAGGTAAAAGTGTAGGATGGATGGATTTTGACCATCCCACTTTTAGTAGGTAACAGAGACGTCAATAAACATGTATTGATGCTAAATGAATTGGCATAAGTGTGACATCTGTTTTGTATATTGTACATTGCAGGGCTATATTACAGTTGTTTTGAAGACTTCTGTTCCCATCCATACTTTAAGCTATGTTTGGCGTGCAATTAAAGAACAAATGGGAGAAGACATCGATTCCCAAATTTACCGAATGTGTCTTCTAAAGGATTCCATGGTGAGATGATAAAACTTAATCAAAACCATTGTTTAGTTTCAAGATTTTTCTGCAACACAACTAATAATTTTATCTTTCTAACAGGGTGTTTGTTTTGATGTTGAAGAAGTAACTCTGAAGAATTTTCAAGTAAGTCATTCTCAAACTGTGTTATGGCAAATATTAGGGATGTCCCGATACCACTTTTTCAACACCATGTACTTGCCGATACCAATTACCGATTCTTTTCCTTAAAGGGACAGGTGACTTTAAATGATCAATAGTACAACTACATATTATGTACTATGGAGCATGATTTAACCTATTCATGTTAGCAGGGGAGAATTGTAACTCTATTGTTGTAGTGTAGTGGACGTGTGTGCTGTATATATGTACTACATATACAGTACACACTTACAGTACACTATAGCAATTAGGTTTACAGCCAGCCCCGTCCCAGCTTTTTGGTAAAATGTAACACGGGGTCATGTCAGGTAAATAGACACCAGACATGTCAAGCCTTAAAATTGCACGCATCCGCAAAGTCACAAAAAAACTATCCCATCGAAATTGGCCATATGCGACACTTTTACTGCTTATCAGTTTAGTGTTAGCAGAGATTAATGGCCCTAAAATTATTGCTCACGCTGCGGCGTTCGCGGTGATATGTAACATGTGCGGCACAACAGGCGCAATCGTTTTTGCACCTGACGCATGTTTGCGTGCGTGTGGGGGGCGGGGGACTTAAAAAAATAAAAAACACGAAATGTTTTTTATGCTTTAACTGCCTGCTGTCTGGCCGTTGTAATTAAACGGCCGGACAGTGGCTTCTTGAATGCGGGTGGGCATTCAGTACTTTTTCATTATATAGTAAAAAAAAAAAAAAAAACCTGTAGTGGTGATTAAATACCACCAAAAGAAAGCTCTATCTGTCCCCAAAAAATGGTATGAAATTAATTTCAGTACAGCGTTGCATGACGGAATAAATGTACTGCAGCGCTGAATACTGAAAAATGGCCTGGCCAGGAAGGGGGTCAGCAAGTGGTTAATTTTCTTATTCTTTTTTTACACTTTATTGCTATCACTTAGGGGGCTAAGAAGCTCCCTATGTGATAGCCAATTTACATGACAGGTCCTCTCCATTTGATCTCCGGTCACAGAGCAGCCGGCCCCACCAGGCACAGCAGATCCCGGGACCGGCAACGGCAGTGACAGCGGCAGCAAATACACGTGATCGGGTGTCTCTAGTGAAGCCCGATCGCTTGAATGTAACTCGTCTGCCTCCGGCGTCCTCTCGCCACAGATGAGAGGACGAGCGGATCTTTCAAGCCCTGGTGATGATCATCTGATCTCACCAAAATGTGAGGCGATTATCTCAAATCTCATTGTTGCTCTTTGCACCATCTTGCTGCATAAACCTGACATTTGCAGTACAGCTTGTCCACACAGAATGTTTAAAACTAGAACTCATTTGGTCACACTGGTTTTAACCTTTTTAGCCTTCAGCTTTTTAAAGCAGATACATTGAATTGTTATGAAAATGAACCTTGATTTCTGCATAATAGGATTCCTGGAAAGATTCAAGGCGTTGGCAGCTGTCTGTGGCAACTGAGCTTCCAGCAATTCACGAATCCAGAAGAGACGATGGCCCACGTGGTAGGGGCGGTAGAGGAGGAGGAGGCGGCAGAGGTGGGAGATCATTTGACAGAAGACGCAACAACCAGAGAGGTGGAAATAGAGACGGAGGCAGAAACAGACGAGGGGGTGGAAGGAGGAACTGAGACACTCAATGAATTTGAACTAAATTATTTTTTTTTTAACTTCAATATTCATGAGGACCAGCGATGCCCCACTTACTTTTGTATTCCTATCATCATAAGATGCTAATGCCACATGTTATGGTGTGTAACACTGCCCATTAATAAAAGTCTTATAATAGAATGTATTTTTTTTTTTTGCTAAAACAAGTTGCTGGTTCTTTTTTGGTTAACCCTTTCATGACCAGGGGGGGTCATTGATGCCTAGATGTCCAAGCCAAAATGAGCAGTTGTAGCATGTGTCTGTAATCACCCAATAAAGACTTTCACATGTAGTTGATAACTTATGGATCACCCCAGTTCTGAACTTCTTAAAGCAGAAGTTCAATGCCATTTTTATAAATTGTTAGCAGGTTGGGTTTTGTAGAAGAAACTTTTCTGTAATGAAAGCTCCTTCTCTGACTGCTAGAACTGTGTTCCTAATTGTACACTGAGAGCTGAGTACAATTAAGTAATTCCTGTGCACATGCGAGGAAGTTACATCATGCGTGACCAGTCAATAAAGAAGACTCTAGACCTGGAATGAAGATTGCCGTAATGAGGGAGAGTGCAAATGTCGTCATTTTGGGGAGTATCTGCCATAGTCTGCAAAAAAAAGTTGCGCCTACTTATGCCAAGATCTCCTAGGGGTCCCAAACGGTAGTTTAGTTTCAACAAACGCCTATAGCATTTCCTGGCATTTAGTAAGTGGTTAGAAAACAGCATATACATTGTAAAAGGTAATTAGTGAGAGTGTGCATATATCTATTACCCCAAACAGAGAATGAACTGGAAAAATAGACAACTCCCTCAGCTCCAGTTCTGAGCTGAAGTATATCAAGCAATGAAATGTCAACACGCAAATTGACCTTTTGTACTTGACAATGTTCTATACACATGGAAGCATCGTCAAAGCGGATCCGAAAGGAAGAGTAAGGTAGGGCTGCAGCTAGCGATTATTTTCATAATCAATTAGTTGCCCGATTTATTTTTTCAACTAATCGATTGGTTGTATAAAAAAAAATCTCCCTCCAACTAATCGATGAGAATAGTTGCCAAGTATTTGCATCGATTATCGATTTAGTCTTTTAGTTGTTGCAGCCCTAGAGTAAGGAGAAGGGAAGAAGTATGGGGGGAGAGGTTGAGAGTTCTAATTAAGAGGCAATACGCATCATGCCGCAGGGTGGTTTCTGCTACAAATCTTTCCCAAACTACAGTTGTCAGGAGAAAATGTTTAACCCAGGGGGTCTGGATTCTGTCAAAAGCTTGCATCCTTCCCTACATAATAGTGAATAGGCCGTAGCCACTTATCAGTTGCAAGCTTCATGGTTTTTTCTTTTCTTGATCACCACCTGTGGCACGGTTTGGTCACGTGCCTGTTGCCTTATGCCTGTTTGTTTGCAAATACATAAATAAAGCATTTAAAAAAAAACTTGCATCCTTTCGAGCCGTTTTGACATTATTTTTTATATCTGTCTTTTTATCCTATTCTTGACTTTGTGAAAATGAAGTATAGGGGACTTTCAAGATCTTGCTATGGTTTTAATGAATGTGAATAGATACGTCAAAAGCTTGAAATGATGGGAGGAAACATTGTTGAGCTTTCTGGTAAGTAGAATCGTGCATGGGTTCGGGTGCAAAGGGTGCTCCAGGATGATTGCTGTGTCTGTAATCTTTGCCATAACGTATGAAGGTAAGTACCCAAGTTGGCTTCCCATTTCCCCACATACTGCGGTGGCCGATTCAGAGGTAGGAGTATACAGAAGACATATCGGTCCTGGGTTATTCCAACATTCAAGTTCAAATTGTGACAGTGGCTGCTGCTGATCTCCTTTTCTATGGCTGCTGATAGTCTTTAATGTGGAGAGATTGACGAAGTTCTGAGGCATGAAGTTTATATTTGTCTTGGAAAAAAACGAAACGTTTATGCCATGATGTGTAGAAATTATTCAGTCTGTTATTGGAGACAATCCAACCTATGAAGGAGGGATAGGCAAACTTGGCACTCCAGCTGTTGTAGAACTAAAAGTACCATAAGACACTGACAGCCACAGGCATGAGTTGCAGAGGCATGATTGGATTTTTAGTTTCACTACAGCTGGAGTGCCGAGGTTACCTACCACTCGGATACTACTCCTGGGGACAACGGAGGGGTTGTGCAGGTAGGACTAAGAGGGAAGATGTGGGGACTATTTTTGCGATCGCACTGGACAAGAACGTGGGCATTGATGTGTCACAAGTTCTGGTACAAGCGATCACACTGGAAGGAGGGGTGGCGGTGCCATTGATTTGAATACACTGCTACGCCCCCTCACCCCAGGGAGGATTTTCTAATGCGTTCCAGCAGCTAACCGTGCTGGAACACACTGGAAGTGGTGTGAACCGGCCCTAAATGCTGAGGTATACAACAGGTATTAAGTCGTCAACAAAAGAAGCTAGCCCAAGGTGCTCATGGTGGAGGTTTGCTTTTAGAGAATTGCACTTTAATAGCAAGGTGTTTATAACAGAATTTTGACTTCTTGCAATGTACATTTTAAAGAAAGATACAAGAGATCTCTAAAACCATGTATGGTGTTTATACTAGAGAGGTGAATGGAGACACCTAGTGGCCACATCTATGTATTACCATGTACATGCATATAGATGACAACCCTATATAGGGTCAATGTTTCAACATTCTTCCTTAGGGTATGATACCCATACGTAGGGTGTAAGAAGAAAGAGGAAAAATATATACGTCATGAAGGGTTTGAAATATTTATCTTTCTTCAAAACAGCTACATAGTTCTTTCAGGGTTTAGTCATGATGACAGCAGTTGTATAATGTTCTTGTGTTTGACACTTCATTGCATTTTTTAAATTAAGCATTCATTTTGGCTTAATAATGAAAATATATTGGAAAATGGTCACCGTTTTAAAAGAACTGAAATAAAACAAAAACCAGCAAAAAGCTGACTTGACTGGCCTAAGTTAGCTGCTGGGTCTGGTCTCTGCCCCATTTTCATACTGGTGAGGAAGAGACCTTTATTCACAATGTCTAAACTCATGAATTACAAATACCTTTCTGCTGCTTGATGCATAACTATCGAAAACACACAAACACGTTTCTTCTGGTTAGACATGCATTTCAGTTGTGAAAATATCATGGAACAAATTGGACTGCAGGGAGTGCAAGGATTTATAAAAGTACTAGTCCCTGTGAGGCTAAATTAGAGGACTAGACAGATTAAATAAGAACTTCAGGTTTTACAAAAATAACCCCTTGCATTGGGACTAGCCCTGCACTGCAAGGGTTAACTGCTAATTTTTCCTCTAGGGGAGAAAATAAAGAAATACCCAATCCTCAATCCCGTCTGGCTACTAGGCTGGTCTGCAGCCTCTTCTTCCCCTGGGCTCCAATGTTCTAAGTCCCTTTACATCTAATACAATCTAGTCACCGGCATTAGCCGTGAGGACGCCAAGGAACATCAGCACCCCATTATCACAGCCAGAGGGGAGGGGTAGAGAGGTGAGCGGGCACTGCCACAGGATCGAGGATCAGGTGAGTATTTCTTCTTTATCGCCCCTAGAGAAACACAAGCAGTTAACCCTTGCAGTGCAGGGGTAGCCACACTGCAAGGGTTAATTTTTCTAAAACCTGGAGTTCTTCTTTAGGATGATCCCAAGTTCCCTGCATGTGGTGAGCTGACTGGGCTGCTTGTGACCAGGAATTGCTGGGAATCTATTATTCTATATTTGTCTGCACAATCTTATGTACTAGCTGCGCTGTAATGACTCTGTGGGTTTAAGGTCAGACTTTATATCACACCACGCGTGTTTTCCGCACTGGACCAATGCGGGTCACCAGTAAGTCAGACAGAAAATAATTGTTTTCTATGTGCTCCATGCGCACCTCAATGTGTTGTGGAGAGGTGCAGAAAAATGTAACGTGTCTGAATTTTGCTGCACCAGAGCTCACCCAAAGTTTCCATTGGCCTACTATTTGACATTTCAATGAAGTTAAGAACTCTGGGCAGTTAAAAAAAATTTACTTTGCCGTGGGGGTTAGCTGCTCATTTTGTTCTAGGGTCTAAAATAATATACTCACCCGAACCTCAGTGCTGTGGCGATGACTGCTCACCCCCCTCTCTCTCTCTGCTCCGGGTGTGGAGTGTCCCTCGGTGTCCTCGTGTTCAATGCAAGTGAATGGACATGTTGATATCATGGGACCTTAGACTCCAGAACCCCGGGGGAGCATTGGCTGTGGGACCGGTCTAGCAGCCAGGCAGGTCTGAGGATCGGGCGAGTATATCTTCTTTTTTTATTTTGGACCTAGACTAAGATGGAGTAGTTAACTCTTGCAGTGCAGGTGAAATGTTCATGTATGATCATGGTGAAGTCGTGCTTCTAGATTGGAATGGTTGTTTTAATGAGCAATGAACACAATCAGCAGTTATTTGATTAAGGTGAAAATGTGCACAATTGAGCACCTGACATTAGTTCTGGGGGAAAGTCCATCCCGTCTCATTGCTTTGTTCTCCAAGACTTTTGTTTTTTTACTCAAAATGATGGGATTTTTAACACTGACGTTTCTTATTAATTCTTGTGACATGTAAATTTCGGCGGTGCCATCTAGCATATCTTTCCTCCACAGACCTCAGCCGCTGAAGGATATGCTGGGAACTTCTCTACAACTCCACATGGCTACAGTGCAAAGTCTCTGGCAGCTGGATCAGGGCACAGGTGGAGGATCACGGCTCTGGAAAGGGCTCTTCTGAGTGAGATAACTGTGGACACTTACGGACTTGGAGGCACACAGAGGCACATTTGGAGATATGGAGGTGCTTAGAGCCATGCTAGGGGCACACTTGGAGATGCGTTGGTGGCACAGAAATACACATGGAGAAATGCTGGGGCCACAGGAGTACATTTGGAGATACAGAGGAACACAGGGGTATACTTGGAGACATAGCAGAGCACAGGGGTACACTTTGAGATGCAGTGGAACACAGGTGTACATTTGGAGATACAGAGGAGAACAGGGGTACACTTGGAGATACAGAGGAGCACAGGTATACTTGGAGAGACAGAGGAGCACAGCGGTACACTTGAAGATACAGCGGGGCACAGAGGTACACTCGGAGATACAGAGGAGCACAGGGATACACTTGGAGATATGAAGGAGCACAGGGGTACACTTGGAGATACAGAGGAGAACAGGGTTTTTTTGATCCTTCAACTTAGTTTGATGATACCCACTGTGTTGTGTGGTTATTGTATACTGTGTATAATACTGTTTAGCATTCATTTCAAAGCTTTAAATATAATGTCTTATGCCATTTGTGAGAGAGGCCTGGAATAACTCCCCCACTTCCCATTGATGTAAATTATATACTGGGTTTCAATTTGCATTCATTCTATTTGCAACCATTCCTTCAGGAACCTAACCCTGATGTAAATTAAGGGCTACCTGTATAGTAAAGTGTTAAAGTGGCCTTCTCAGGTCAGGAACCTACCCCAGCATTTATATTGCCATTGTTATATCAGCTGGTAGACTAACGGGGGCTATTTTCTAAAGAGTGAAGAGTTTGGAGAAGGACGGGGAAGGGAACAATCTAGGACAACATAGCTGAATTGGAAAATGAGCTGAATTGGAGATATTTTCCAGTTCAGCTATGTTGTCCTAGTTTGTTCACTTCTTCTGCCTTCTCCTAACCCTTCACCCTTTTGTGAATAACCCTGTAAGTACAATGAAGTGTTAAAGTATTACCATTGTTGTATCAGCTGGTAGACTATGTGTAATAAAGTGTTGAAGTGGCGTTCTCAGGTCAGCAACCTACCCCAGCATTTATATTACCATTGCTGTATCAGCTGGTAGTCTAAGTACAATAAAGTATTGAAGTGGCTTTCTCAGGTCAGGAAGCTACCTCAGCATTTATATGACCCTTGGTAGACCAAATTTACTAAATTGTTGAAAGGAGCTTTTCCAGGCACCTTTTTACTGAACTACATTCAACTTCCTACAGAGAAAACATATCAGTCTAGGTACAACCACATTTAGAACAGTTATCTTTGCCATCTTGTGTAGGAAATGACAGAGGTTGTGGTTTTTATTCGTATTTTTTACCTAATAAAACCATCATGTACAAGTGAAAATCTTGCACGTGTGGTGCTTCTGTGGTGACTTTTATCAGTACGGATGTGCACTGCGCAAATGTACTCTGAGCCGCATTACCCAACACAGTGTTTCATTTTACTGTCCCTCTTTCTGCCATGATCCATAAAATATAAAAGTCCTGAAATACTTGTTTACCGTAACAGACTTGCTCAGGGTCCAACTGGCCACAGCTTCTCTGACACCTCCCCTTCTCAACTATAGGAAGGCACTAATGGCTAGATTATTTTCTGCAAGGCAGCAAGGGGAAATAGCAAACCTAAAGTCACCCTTTGTAAGAATATATGTTCCATTTCTGTAGACCAGCACTGACTCTTACTACAGGAGACACGGTCTATATTAACAAAATACTTCCTGGTATACCAGGCAGCTGCAGCAACATGAATGTTACATCAATGTGCCGGAATGCACATTACTTGCAATGGTGGGCTGCAGTGCCATTCAATGTAAAGATCACTTATGTATGGAATGGACACCGCATTGTGGTGTGAATGGGCCCCAATAGTTTATTTCTGGTGGCTCTCTTGTAGGTCATTTTAAATAGTCAGTTCATCCAGAACTGATGAGCTAAACTACATAATGGTAATTTGTATTTCGCAAGGACTTTGGTAGTGACATCTCTGTGCTTGGGGTGTCTGCAAAGAAGAGTGTACGGGAACACCTAAAACTCCAAGGTGGACTGGAAGATTGCCAGAAACGATGGTAGGGAGATCTTACCACTGAAACTCCCGTAGGATTTAAGGTTACTCTATAATCAGCCATTTTTGTTATATGCTAACGTGCATGTGAACGTGTATGTGCAACCCTGACAGGTATTTATTACCTCTTACAGATCAAAGTACTCCCCCTGACAATGTCTTCATGTTGTTTTCTCTTGCACCATATTTGTTCAGGCATCAGCATCTACTTCCTGGAATGAGATGCTGGCTTAGAGGTGACAAAACTATATAAATCCTGGTGTGCACTGATGTCTGACACAGATCATCCCATGTTGCAGTCTCTCCCCTTGCAAAATGCTACAGTCACAATGCTGCAGTCTGATCAGTGGGGGAGGAAATTCTTGCTCCTGCCTCCAGAAAACTTATGTCAACTCAACCTAGGCAAAGACGCTTGACTGGAGCTCAAGATAGGCTAAACTGGTCACACACATCAAAATCCGATTGCGGAATGCACTAAGTTTAGGATAAATGCTGCAATGAATTAAAATGAAATGAATTAATTAAAACCTCCCTTGTAAGTAACATAAGCTCAAAGAGGAGTGTAAGGTGTGTATGGTGCTTAGATCTGATGACATTATTTCCAGTCAGTTTTATATAACCCCATCCAAGTTTATGAAACCACAATGTTTTTCGTGAGCCCACAATAAGTGAGATTTTGTACAACTGTAATCTAATTTACATTAGTATCTTTATAACTTGCCATACAGTAGAGGCTTTTTGTGTGCAGTGGTGAGTACATCTAGTGGCTTATGGGACACTAATGAGCATAGCAGCAGCTGGTCTTAGGAATTGGGCACCAGAATCACAGGGGATCTGGTGGGTTAAAAATGTTCACCTACACCACTTTCATCTATACTGGCACAGCAAGTATCAGCATTACTCAGCCAACATTGCACAGTACTGCCCATCCATAGTAGGATTTTTATCTGTCAAATCAATAAGAATTTCCCAACAGCTGAACTGTGTGAGAGTCTATCTAATGAATATGTTTTGAAAAGATTGTTGAGTATATCTAAAGCCAAAACTTTTTCATTTTTTTGATAGAGTATAGAAGGGTTAAAACCCCCGTCAGCTTGATTTTCTTTTAATATAAACAAATGAATGCAATAAGTTCCTCACAGGGGTTCTAAGGCCTCACCATTCTAACCAAGAAAAAAAGTTTGGGCTTTAAACCTTTTCTTTATAGTAAGTTTATTGAGCTCAGTGTTGTACATCAATACATGTTATACTGAGATAGGGTTGGCTTTAGATACTCTTTAATTGCCCACTTAACATGAACATTTTGATGATTTGACTGATCAATATTTTTTCACAGATCAATGTTGTAAGCGTGCAGGTCATATTTTAACTAAAGTGTGGTAAATCCCCTTTAGATTTGGCACCATTGTACTTATTTTCTTTGATTCAGTTATGCACACAATGTTTTCTTTCCAGCAAAGTACAATGTTACCAATAGGGAGCATAGTGAAGAAGCGATGGGATGTTGATAACTACTGTTTGTTTCAATAAAATGTAATGTTGGATCAGCATTTTAATGACTTATTTATCTTATTCGAGATGAAATATACATAGATGATAGAATAAGATGATGTAAAATATTGATAAACTAGACTTCAGTAAAACATAGTAACATGTTTGACAATAAAAGTATAGGCTTGAGAAAATGCTTAGTACAATACAGGACTTTCATGCAGAAGCTTTTTTATGACATAATGGCCGAATGCTACAAATTTAATTTCTTATAGATGTGTCCTGCTACCTTTACAAAATCAGGTTTTCCTCAGACAAATTGTTTTGGAATTTGTATTCTCTTATTTCATTTGATTCTGAATCATATTCCTTGACAGATCCAGGTTCTTCTCCTGAAAAGACACCATTTCCTGATCCACTATCTTCTCCAGAGATGGAGTTTGGTACTATGAAGCTTGGGACTTTTCTCATTCTGAAAAGATGGGAAAAAATAAAACGTTGTGAGTAAATCAGTGGCAGCAAATATAGATTTATGCGCAGGTTACAAAGCCTTCTGGCCATCTGTCTCATTTCATCCACAAATCCTTTGCATGTGTGGATGATGAAGGGCTCACCTCTCCAGTGGCTTGTGTCTCCTATCGTTAATTCCTTTAAGCGCTGCAGCCTCCATACTCTTCAGTATTTAACACCTTCCCTGTATCCCCTTGCCATGTGCTGTGGTTTCATCCTCCAAGCCCTACATTACTACAGGATTTAGCAGTCACATAGGGGTCAGAAGATGGAACCATGGCATTTGTAGGGGACATAGGCATTGGACACTCCTAGAAATATTGAATTCTGACAAGTTTTATGGAGGCTGCAATGCTGGAATCGAATGGAGCCAGACCTCAACACAACACATTGCATAGCGGTCTGACATGCCCCTTGCACCCTGCTCCAATCAAAAGAGCTGTTGATTGTCGTTTACCCATACCCCAAAACATATTATGAGAATAAGAGAATGGCATATATTGCATGTTTGCAGTGCATTTGCATATTAATCAAAATGTTCTGTAAAAAGGAAAGAGACCCCATTAACATGAATCTTCTTTTCTGGTCAAAAATTTTTTAAACTATCTACAACGTAAACCCATACTAGCTTACTAGTCTTTGGATGGGGTGGCTACATTCGGTTTCCTGTTTAAGACTTTTTTTCCCCTATATTTTCACCTGGTCATCCTGCCACTAACATACTTCCTATCCTAGACTGACAAAGATCACTCCCTGTACAGTGAGTGTATTCAGTGGCGTCACAAGGGGGGTGTCGGGGGTGCGGCCCGCACCCGGGTGACACTATTGGAGGGGTGACACCAAAATGACTGGCAGTCAATTTGGTGTCACCCTCTCTGAAAAGTCAGGCACTCTGTCATGGACTGAGAGCACAACAGTGTCAGGAGAGAGGAGGGGACCTGGCTGCATATCTCATCCTGCCAGGTGAACATCTCCTCCACTCTCTGCCGGCATCCGGTCACCAAGATGGCCACCGGCAGACGTCAATGAGATGACCTCGCATGTGCGATGATGCCATCGTGCACGGACGCAATGACGTCACGGCGGGGTGTCACCTGGTCTCCGCTCCGGGTAACACCCAGCCTCGGGACCAGGGCAGCCATCAGAAATTTTGGGGCCCCTTACACGGCTTTAGGCCGGGCCCCCCCCCCGCGCCGCTGGACGCAGGGCTTAGTGACGTGCTGGACGCAGGGCTTAGTGACGCGCTGGACGCAGGGCTTAGTGACGCGCTGGACGCAGGGCTTAGTGATGCGCTGGACGCAGGGCTTAGTGACGCGCTGGACGCAGGACCCACCTGTGAGTGACCCTGCAGAGTCCACCATAGACGCTGCACAGCCCATCTGAGACTTTCTATGGTGGGCTCTGAAGGGGTCTCAGGTGGGCTGGTCAGGGCTGCATCCCTCCCCTCCCTCCTTTCCTTCTTTCCTTCCTAGCTCCTCTTACCTGCACACATGGCCTCGCCTGCCGCCAGAAGTGACGGCCCTAGCTTGTCTCAAAGCCGCTGGAGCAGCAATGCTGGGGCCCTGCGCTGCTAGGGCCAGGCCTCCGCCTCATCGCCTTTCACTATCAGCCGATACTCATGTAATGGTCCTGGGCGGCCCCCCCAGGCTGCCTGGGACCCTTACATGAGTATCGGCCGTACCCCCCTGATGGCTGCCCTGCTCGGGACACCCTTGAGTGTACTGTATAAGAAGATAACCCCTTGTTATCTTCTTCTCCATAACAAGGGGGGTATTCTCCAGTCCTAAGAGATAGACTAGAATGATAACTGATAAACAGTGCAAAAGAGAGCATAGAAAGTTATCAGCTCACTGAATATCTGCTTAGATCAACAGCCATCACTTATCAAACAGATGTAACAAAATGCTTTCAATTATATAGTTAACAGAGGAAACGCTATAAAGTGGTTATGTGTAAAGAATAACTTGGTCATAGAGGCTCATGTAGATGAGCTTAGATATTTAAATACTCTACATGCATATTTAGCTTAATCTACTGTTCCTGGACTGTAAGAAGTAATAGTATTTATATACTTACACTGCATCAGTCTCAATTTTATTGCTGATTTCGCCTTGCTCAAAAAGGGACTGTTCTTGAAAGCAGGCAACTGAATTGTCACCTGGTCTGCATCTGATCCTTTGGTATTGTTCTCTCTTCATAGGCAGACCTATGGATTATTTAAAAACAATTAAAAAAAATACATTTTTGATAATGACCTTTGCCTTCTTTCATGTGGTTTGAAAGCAATATAGCACCATTAATAACAATTACAGATGTGATGACAGGTTTGAAAATGGATGCAGTGCACCTTATGTAGCATAGTGTACTTTTCACTAAAAAAATATATATTTTTAAAGGTAAACAAGGAAATTAACACATGCTCAAAATACATTAAAAATTAACATTGAACAGACTCAATAATGTTATCATGTGTTACATTATGAATACACACATAGTAAAGGACCCGTAGATCTGCGAATATCCATAGAACGGTCAAACAACACTGAAAGCATAACAACCTGCCAATGCCTGCTAAGAGAAAGGCCAAGCAGGGAGAGCAAAGTCAAAAACTAAGGAAGACAGGGCAAACAAAAGGAGAAGAGACAGAAAACCAAGACAAAAAAAAGATGGAAACCTGAAAAGGAGAAGAAAAAGGGAAAACAGCCCCACTGCCCAGTTGAGAGGGAATAACAGGGAAAGGGAGCCTATGAGCTACAATTGTGGTATATAGAATAGACTCGTATAGTAATAAATAAAATGCCCCTTACATTGGTGGTTAGTGCAAAGAATGCCCCTGTTACAGTGGTAGTCAGAATGAAATAAAATCAGTGGTCTAATGCAGTTGGCTATGCCAGTTGGTGTTTTCCCTGAAATTATGCAGGTGCCATCAAGTGGGAGGTCAACCAGCCACAGCCAAAGGAATCCTTAGCAACCTCTGGAGGAACCCTAAGTTTCCATGGAACCTAGATTGAGACTGGCTTATATAGAGTGTGTTGAACTTGAAGGATTGGGAGTGAAAAGATGAAGCCTATATATCTTGGAGGATGGGGAAAGTATGTTGACCTGGTAATAAACATTAACCGGGTTGGCTAGAATGGTTTGTGGTCAGTGGTGGTTGTGAGAGGTCGTGGTGGGGGAGGAGTGTTGGGTGCTGTCTGAGAGTAGGACAGAATGTAGTGTCGGGATGCTACTAGATTGAGTTAACATGATAAGGGTGATGACTGTACAGCATTTTTCAGATATCCGCACAGCTACAAAGGTCTAGAAACACTATAAATGAATTGCTATTGTGCTGTTGTACATGGGTTTGGAAATAGCATTATAGTACATGGGGGACTGAGTAGAAATGGAGCAATTAGGAAATAGTATGAATGATGAGATGTAATTGTGATAACTGTGAGAATAGTTGGAACTTTAGGGAAGTTATATACTAAGAGGAAGAAACAGCATGATGGACAGAATGTTGGATAGAAGTTTAAAACGTTTCTTAGAAGGGATTCTTCATTATTGGTAAGTGTTTAGGATGACAAGTTGAACATCTTTACTGTTTCTTTGCCTTCTCGATGGTGTATTGGGAAAACAATACTCATTCGTTGTTGACTCACCAGAAGAGGGTGTAGACTGATTGGTATGGAGCTTAAGCACAGGTCTAAAAAATGAACTGGAGATTTTGTAGCTTGAGATTTGTTTGTGGGGCATTCTGTGTTGCAGTAGGGGATATTACTTGTTGAGAGACTGCTAGTCATTGTGGATCTGGAAGAGTTTTTGGTAGTAGTGTTGGCATGGGGAAGGACTTCAGAGGATGGGATTGCAATGTTCTCTAAGTTATTGCTATTTCGTTCCATTTGGGGTCTTGAATGTTTTGGTGGGCCATGAATCCTGATCTTTGGTTAAAGATGAGGCTGATCTGTGCTGTTTTTTTGACCACTGTTGATTTTACTGCCAGTTGTGTTGTTGCTATTGTCTTCCTGACGGTGGGTCTTGTTAATTGTTCCTCTGGTTTCTGTTGGTACTGTGCTATGTTTGGTGTTATTAGTGGTTTACTAGGATCTTGTCTTTCCTTGTGCATATTCCTGTCTGTGACACTCTAATTTCTTTTCTTTAGTTGCTGTAATTATCTAAGTACTTCTGTTTTCTTTAATGTATGTACTATTCCGTAATGTATGAATCCTCCCAACCATAGATTACAAGCGAGGTGCCTTAAGTGCCATGTCACCACCAGAATCTATGTGTAAGGGCTTAGATTGTCATGTTTCCAATACCTGCCAATTATATTTGTCAGATTTCCAATACCTGCCATTATTAACAACATATTTAATGTAAAGAACAATTAGCTAAACTGAAATATGAGCTCTCAAAACTCTGGCACTCGAACATTCGGGAGTCTGACTTTACAAGGTGGTTTGTAGGAATGTTGTATAGGAGTGAAGGAAGAGCTCCTTCCAGTTGATATTCTTTGACAGTTCATTCCAATACACTAGTTTAGATCCTATAGGCTCTGGTCTTAAAGTTTATGTAAACCCAAATACTAAAGTATGACTGTAGTGTCGCGTCTTCATGATTATTGGCATCAAAAGTATAACATTCTAGGGGAAACACCCACAAACCAGACATCTGATAAAGATGAGAACATTTTGTTTTTCTACTATATTTGATACTAATGGACACATTTTATATGTGTGATTCTGTTTTACTTTTGACGTTTTTCACATTTACCAGTTCCAGCATCCATGGTACAAAAAGCTAGCCTGTTCCATAAAATACTGATAAAACCACATATACATAATAAAAACAAAAGTGATATTTACATGAATATCAATTTGTGATCTTTTTGATTCATTGCATTCATGAGCAGTCCAGTGTGTCTGTTGTAACTAGGAAAGGCTCTTGTGTGTGTTTTAGAGAAATGTCCTTAAATGGAAACTTAAAAGCAGAGAAGCGTTGTCAGTTTTTTTTATTGCTATTTGTGTCCCCACTGAAAAAAAAATATATCTCACTTCCAGTTCTAGTGACTGGGACAGGAAGTGGGGGGGAAACCTTTATAACAGGACACTAAGAAGCCCTGTAGTTTTTAATTTCTTGGTGTCCTCATTAGGGGATTTACTCTCACTTGAGAGACATGTGCCACCAGGCAAACAGGAGGAATCACCCCATGTCTATTGGGAACAAAAAACAAACAACAGGCTCTAACTTTTCATCATCTATGCAAAAAAAAAAAAAAGCATTTGGCTTGATTCCCACTTTATCTGTCTCTGTTGCTTAGGTCTGCTCAAAGTCTTCTTTAGGCAACTTGCCAGCAGTGTAAATTGGATAGTATGCCAATCTGCAGCCTCAGTAGAAACTATAGTTGTAAATGGAAAAAGAAAAAAAAACAGGGCTACTCTAATGTGTAAACCCGTGACCAAAATGATTCATTTCCTGGAGGACGAAGCCCTAAGCTTCCTCAATGTACACAATAAAGGCTAAATCTGTAACCTGTGGTTAGCAGCAAGTACAGCTCAAACGTCTACCTCAAATGCATCGAACACACTGAGGTGTCTTACTTTTTCAGCTAACAAAAGTGGCCCACATATATATTTGTATTATGTATTGTTATTATTATTTATTTTGTTATATTTCATTATTTTTTTATGTTATTATAATATTTATATATTATATGATATGATATTATGGTATAAAAATACTGTGTTTGTCGTAGATAGCACAGTAGAAATACATCCTTCATCATTATGGCTTTCGGCCAGTAGATGTGTCTTAGTGAGGGTGTAAAGCCCTGATAATTTTTGATTATCTGCAGCAGCTTTAAAACATAACTGTAGCTTCGAAGAAAAGACATATCCAGCCATCTCCCACTTTCCTTATCAAACTGTAAATTAGGTCTACAGATTTCACATACAGAAAAGTCAGCACTGTCACGTGGGTGGCACGTCCAGGGTGTAACTTACAATATCACCGGATGTAAGCACTGCCCAGCTTTGGGTGTGTCACATCTAAATTCTGTCCACATCTAAATTCTGTACTCAAAATGTATAGTTTAGTATAGTTAAAGGGTAGCTTCAGCCCAAACTACAATCAGGCTTTTCTTTTTTACTATCTGTGCCCCACACTGGGAGATTTCCACTAACTTCCTGTGTGCTCACCAGGACATGAAATTAGGTAAAACCTCACCAACAGGGGCTCAGAAACCAAAAATAACAGTTCCTCTATATGTATGGTCACTGTGGCTGGAAGTGAGGGGACATACAGGTGGGACTTGACTTGATAGATGGGTATTAACCCTGAAATGTTGTCACTGTGCCCCCACCTGCCTGCTTCCAGATGTCCGCTGTTTAATCTCCATACTATTGTGATCTTGTATATTTTACACATGCACTCTCTCCATTTTACTATACATTTGTTCAGCTGCTAGGTATCACTGCTCCACTGTAAAGCTCAGTACCAGTGGTGAACATGACCTGTGTTTATGTACTATTCTTTGTACTTTTGACTAAATACAAAGGTATGGGCAGGGGTTCTAGTTTTTAAAAAAGGATTGACTCTGCTGATTGACTTAACTGAAATTATTGCAGTTAAAATTGATGCAAAAACAGCATTTTTTGCTATAGAAATAATGAATCATATTTCTGGTATATATGGGTGTGTGGGGGTGTGTGGGGAAGGATGTCACAACTTAAAGGAGAAGTATTGGGAGAGTAAAATCTACTCCTCCCAATATTTAGAGCTGACGTGGGGCACTGCATGAAACTGACTGTCAGTCACTATTCCCTGCAGGGATTTCCTCCACCCCAGTCCGTTTCTCCAGCGCTCATTGGAGGGGCAGACAGGGGAGGGGGCGGGCACAAGTGGCTCTGGCTCTAGAGAGGCAGAGCAAGCTGTCATTCAGGCAATGAGGTGGATTCCAACAATACTGTCGGGATCCTTCCTGGCTCCAATGCGGCTCTGCACTTGCAGCATACAGTGGGCAATAGGATCACAGAAGGGTCACAAAAGGACATTAGTAAATATACTTCTGTGACCCAAAAGAGAAGTAAAAAGAAAAAAAAAGTTTGACTTTAGTTCTCTTTTAATAAACACAAAATAATGTTACCAATAAAAGAAAATTAGGTCCTGCATGTTGGGTTTTATTTATTGATATATGTGACTCAACCCAATCTGGGTCTTTATTTCCATGGAAGGGAGAAGGGGGCTCAGCCCACATCTCTAATTAGGAGATCTGCCAAATCTAAAAAACACTTTCAGGGTTATTCACAAAAGGGTGAAGAGTTTGGAGAAGGCAGGAGAAGTGAACAATCCAGGACAACATAGCTGAACTGGCTGGTATAAACTTGGATGGAGTGCAGCCAGGTCAGGTACTGTGAAGGACCTGCTTATTGATTGGATCATTTCTATTTCAGTGGTACTGTTTATAGCATTTAATCCCTGCATGGTCACAATGCTGATGTTACTGTTATTGTCATTTGTTAATCATTTAAATTGTGGCCAAAACATTTGAAAACATAATGTCACATACAGGAGTCCTATCATGCTTTATATAGAGGCTGCTGGTTGATATTATTTATCCATTTCCCTGCCAATCTTTCAGCTCTGCATGGGTCATTACATAGATAAGGGCTTACTTAAAGTGTATGTATACACAAAAATCGTTTTTAGTTTTGGACAAAGTATAGAAGGTTATTTTTTTTGTTTCGTGTCCTAATGGAAACATTTCCCTTCACTTCCCCATCTTAGAGATTTCAGCTTACTCCTTGCTTTCATGACAAATGTAAAATTTAGGATTTCCCCATTTTCTGTCTCAGTGACAATGTTCACCAGGACAAATAAGAGTTTAAATCTCTCCGTTGGGAACAGACAGCAATAAAAACCTGACATATAACCCATCCACAACTAATATAAAAGTTTTGCCTTTATATGCACTCTAATACCTTTCAAAAAGTATTCCCTTATGAATGTTTTTTCTCTATAGTCTAATTTTGTTTTGCGAAGTAATAAAAAATGTCCGAATGGATTCATAAGGCTGATGTCTAAGAATCTGGTAAAACATTTTCAAGGGAAATTGCTCATGTCCTTCATATGAATGATCTTTCTGGGTCATTTCTCACCCTAACCTATTTTGCAATAATAACAGGAAATCACAAAACTCTGCTCAGCAGTTTATAT